TCACTTAATCATAGACAAGAAAATAGAGCGTAAGTACTTACGTTCACTTAATCATAGACAAGAAAATAGAGCGTAAGTACTTACGTTCACTTAATCATAGACAAGAAAATAGAGCGTAAGTACTTACATTCACTTAGCGAGTTTTGAAAGTATGGCCCCAGGCGGTAATGGGGGAAACATCGGGCACACGGTTCCGACGGTTTCAGGCCCAGTGGGAGTTTCTGGAGTTTGTGGGAGTGCTCAGCAGGAGTTTTGAAATTTCTACACATTAAGAACTCTCCATAAAGAAATCAGAGTGTGATGTAGGAGCGTGGAAAAACTGGATTTGAATTTTGGCCCCCATTGTTGAGAACAATTTAATGTTTAAACCCGTTTCTTTGTTCATTCTATGGACTCAATGACCTTGAGCTATAGGGTGAAACTTTGACACCATTGAGCGACCTCTAATTATTAACCGATTTGAAATATATTTTTGTTATTATTTAGTCATCAAGACGAACCGATTTTTGAGGTAGGAAACCATTTTCAAGAACAAAAGTTTTTTGAGGACCACCCTAACCACTCAGTTTAGTTCTATAAATAAATATATATTAAATAAACTATGGATAAAGATCTAAGTGAAGGTGGACTATCTAAATTAATTAATTAATTAATAATGTAAATCTAACGTAATGGTTTAACTAGAGCGTTTAATTTAATGTCAACAAGAGTTATAAATATTATAATATTATATTATAATAAAAATTAGACTCACACACACACAAATAAATGTATGGATCATGTGGTTGACTAAATGACACACTTTCTTACCCAAAGGCAGACAATGTATATGAATCATTTCAAAAACGTATTTGTATCAAGACATTCCTACAAACACATGTATAGATGAATGAAATGAATATTGCGCGCCATTCAGCGAACATCTCTGATGATATCAGCCGTCATGTCGTGAGCTCCGCAACAAACGCTTGTCGGGGGCGGTCGTGGCACGATACACGATAAAGGCACGACACACGATAAAGGCACGACACACGATAAAGGCACGACACACGATAAAGGCACGACACACGATAAAGGCACGACACACGACAAAGGCACGACACACGATAAAGGCACGACACACGATAAAGGCACGACACACGACAAAGGCACGACACACGATAAAGGCACGACACACGATGAAGGCACGACACACGATAAAGGCACGACACACGATAAAGGCACGACGCACGATAAAGGCACGACACNGAATGTTAATTTAAGATGGGGTAAAACTAAATGTAAAAGGGTATGAAACTAATTGAAAAAGAGCGAAACTAAATGTAAAAAGGGGGGCGAATGTGAATTTAAAAGGGGGCGAAACTAAATGTAAAAAAGAACGAAAGTAAATGAAAAAAGGGGGGCGAATGTGAATTTAAAAGGGGGCGAAACTAAATGTGAAAGAGGGCGATATTAATTTAGAAAGGGGTGAAACTAAATGTAAAAAGGGGATGAAACTAAATGTAAAAGAGAGAGACAAAATGTAAAAGGGAGCAGAAGTAAAATGTAAAGCTCGTTTTGCAGTTGTCGCTGCTAAGTGAGTCACAATGACTCATGTTTGCCGTCGTTGCGGCACTTGAACTTTATATTAACTAATGAATTATCACTTGTGTTGATGTATACTAAGTGTTCTCTGTGTGGATGTAGTCTCCTGGGTGGCGTCCATACGAGCAGCTATGTGTGTACATATCTCTGTATATTTACAGTGTACATATATATAAGGGCTGAACTGTATATATACAGTGCAGCCTTAGCACACATTTTTTGTTGAGCTATGTTTAATTTATTATTTTTCCTGATAGAATAACGCGACGTTTTTTTTATTTTATTTATTTATTTTATTTTTGTTCATTTATTCGAAAAAATTTAAATTATTATTTTTCCTGATTGAATAACGCGACGTTCTTTTTATTTATTTATTTATTTTATCTTTTGTTCATTTCTTCGTAAAAATTGTAATTTATTATTTTTCCTGATAGAATAATGCGACGTTATTTTTATTTCTTTTTATTTTTTGTTCATTTCTTCGTAAAAATTCATTTGTTAATGAGACCGCGAACGCGACTCGAATGTAAGACCTTATTTTGACGTTCATTTCATTTTGTGGATTGGAAAAACGGTGTATGGTCTGTTTGATGGTCTGAACCCCACCGTATACCCTAGCCCCAGACCCCACCCTACCCTAGCCCCAGATCCCACCCTACCCTAGCCCCAGACCCCACCCTACCCTAGCCCTAGACCCCACCCTACCCTAGCCCCAGACCCCACCCTACCCTAGCCCCAGGGGGCTCCCCCCCGCGCCCTCATGGGGCTAATGTTGCCATCAGACCCTCGTTGGGGTCTGACATTATAATAAAGATTGAAGGCGTTAATTATCATTAAATTATTATTAAAGTAATTATCCTCGATCAAATATTGTAGCGTCAGGTCTTTCTTGCTGATGTAAACGAGTGAAGCTTCTTGTTTTTTTATTGCCCTTCAATTTATTAGTACGCCTCTTATAGGGTAATTTGCCCTAAACCCACCCCACCCTGAGCCCACCCCACCCTAAGCTCACCGAGAATGTATAAGCAATGAAAAACCTTGTAAATTCTTATAGTTTTTGAAAATATTTTGTAAACCAGCTTTATTATCAAAATATATAAGGAATTAAAAATACAGAAAGAACGGGAAAAATCATTAAAAATTAGAAAAACGAAAGATATGTGAAAAAATATCTCTTTGTGTATCTTTCATACGCATTCTGGTCCATAAAAAGTTTTCAAAAATGATATGAATTTGCTTGTTGCTTTATTTGCTTTTAAATTCTTAGTGAACTTTCGATGTAATCATACTAATGATGTACGTAACCAGCTTCAGCAGCGACTTCTCGCAAGCTTCGCGTAGTCACTCGTTACCTAACGTGGTACGAAAATTGGCTCACGTCTCCTAACGTGATACTTCTACTGTCTCTCGATCGGCACCTAACGTGACACGTTAACTGGCTCTCGTCACCTAACGTGATATGGCAACTGATCTTCATCACGTAACGTGATACGTTTACTGGTCCTCGTCATCTAACGCGATGCGTCCACTGGACCACGTCACCTAACGTGATACGTCGAACACTCCTCGTCATCTAACGGGATACGTCAACTGGCACGTCACCGCACGTGATACGTCTCTTGGTTTTGTGGTCCAGCGAAACACGTTCGCTACCTCGGAACCTCGCGCGTTCACTGTGACCGCCATCTTTGTTGCATGTCACGTGAAATTAAATTCACTTGGCATCAGACTAGTCTATCACTACTTTAACCAACCTATTGCACCAAGCTGCTGCTTTCTACTTACATCTGTCCCAAAAATTTTAAGTGCGGACGACAAAATTGTGAGCTTCTCCTACTGTAATAAAGTTTAGGGATCATGTCGATTGTTCGGGACGCAGTATAGACCCCAACATAGCTCTTGCCCACAATTCAATATCTATTCCTTTCCGCTCGTAATCACGCTAGAGGGCATATTAGCCTGTGTAATTAAGTGCCTAAAGCCATAGGTGTCATTTCCTTTCCTGGATATGAATCAATCAGCCAACTGACATCAAGCCACCGAAGCAACAGCCGTGGGCAAATAGCCAAACTGTTGCGTGCTGGTATTAAACACAGCCTGGCGTATTCGCGGCTTTTGAAAATAAGCGCCCGACATAACAGCGCCCTTACGTCACAGCCACTGCTTCATGGCGCTCTACTCCACAGGCTAAAGCGCAAACCGCCGTCCCTATAACGCCTTGCCCCGGCTCTCCCCCTTCGCAGCCAGCAAAAGGCTTTTCTCGTTGCCCGATCAGTAATACGCCTGGCGCGATGGAGGGAGGTTATATATGAGCTGCTCACCGAGCAGTTCGTCTAAGCATGTTATTCGTGCTGCTAAAATTGCATCTACGCGAAATTTGTTGACATTTATTATCC